TGCCGAATTTGTGCCAAGCCAAACCGAGTTGAGCTCACGACCTGCTCGTTTACGTTTAATAGCTGCATGTAGAGTTGGACTTGTGCAGTCACTAATAACTTCATTTACATCATTGTTTGGCGCAACTGCTCTTAGATATTTAAGAGGACCATTGTTCTTAGTTCCGTGTTAAGCTGTTAAAAGTGCTTATCAAGGTACGCTTGGGATTTAAAAACTTCTTCTTTTGATGCATAGTATTATTTAAAGTTTTGTGCTTAATCTGAAGAACTTTCTATTTTTAGTGTATATAGGTAGTTCTTATGAAAGCATCTTTATATTTTATCATTTTTACTCATAGTAATTTATTTCATTTTTCATATTTAAATGTAAAAAGAACTTACTAAACTTAACCGTCGGTTAAGCACCGCGAGTCTCCCCTAGTAGTTGCGAATAGAAATAAAATTTACTGTGCAAATAAATTAATTCTAGTGATGATAGAATACTTTTCTCAATTATTTAATGTGTGATTGAATATGGATTTAATTGATTTTTTTGTTAATCATAATTTAATATAAAAAATTGTATGGTTAGTTTTTAGTGAGAATTTAAGCTTAAATTAAAATAATAATTATAGTGAAATTATGTGAGTGGATGAACAATAAATTAAAGTTTATGTAATGCGTAAAAATGATTTATTGATATTATTTAATTATATTGATAATATTAATGATGGTGAAGTTGAGTTAAATTTAAATTTTGATTAATTTTTTTAATTAAATTTATATCTAATCACACCCTTAGTTCATGACTATTGGATTGACCCACGCGTGCCGCAGCCCATTTTTTATGTTTGGCATAGACGCACAGTGCATCTCAATTTGTCAATTTATACTTTATTATTTTAACCAAAGTAGAATTAGTAGTAATAATAATAATAATAATAATAATTATAAAAAAAATACTTGAAGGGGTCCCGGAGAAGACGTCACCAGATTTGAGAGCTGCACCAACTTGTATTCACCCGCAATATTCAATTGGAGATAATTAAAGAGACCTGTAATTAAATAAAAGTATTTGGGTTAAACAGAAAATAATGACCTAGAGCCCATAAATAACATATTCCAATCCCATATATGTGACATAGATAATAATATTTACCAGTTAAATCAATCATAATTCTGATGAGATGAAGAAATTCTTTTGATAGATGCTGACATGAAACTTTTGTTCACATCACATTTACTAAATATTCATCACAATTAAACCGGCCTAGTTGTGTAGTCTTTACAGTATGATTAGTTACTAGATATATAATAATACTAACAATGCCAGTTATTGTCATTGAGTATTGATAGCATATGATTTGAATTTAGTTGATACTTTATAATTGAAATTACTATTAAAAAAACCCAAATAGCTTGCACACTTCTTTTACTGAAATAAAGTTGGACAATGAAAAATAATTAGAAAAGTAAATAAGATAAATAATTTTTTAAATAAAAATTTTGAAGAAAATGAGATGACAACACTTAGGATATTTATGATAAATTAAAAAAGGTAACTAATAGCTTATAAGTAAATTTTGAGCTTATGGATGATAATCTACCTAGAGTTGTAAACGAGAAGAGCCGAGCTCGAGCACCGTTCGGCTCGAGCCTTTAATGAGCCACATCGAGCTCATGGTTGGCTCATTTATCAATCTTAACGAGTCGAGTTCGAACAACGAGTCAATCTCAAGCTTTAATGAGCAGAGTTATAAAAAATTGTACTAAAAATTCTCTTTTCAAGCCTTGTTGATGGATGGATCAACGGTTAAAATAAAAGATATTGGAGATAAAAAGATTAAACAAGAGAGAAATACTGCGGAAAAGGAAATTTATTACGTAATTACGAGGTCGGCCTCTATGAGTGAGGTCGGCACTTTTGTTACAGTTGAGATCTTTACGGGAAATTATTACAAGTATTTAGAAAGAGAAAGTAGAGAGATAGCTGAGTAAATGCAGATTCAACAACCCCTAAATAAATGAGGAGATCTTCTATTTATAGTAGCATTGAATGAGACACTGTTCCTCCACTGTTTATGCTGTCATATCGCATAATAGCTCTGAGGGGCAGGCCGGCGCTTTTCTGACTGATTGAGAGTAATTAATGAGTTTTCCAATCATTGCCTGCAGTGCATTTAATGCGGGTATGGACTGCATTAAATGCGGACATGCCTTTAGGCCGGGCTAGACGTCCTAGGTTTGCAGGCTAGCTTGAGGCATCTCATCGGCAATCATTGACTGACAAGTGGTATTATAATATTGTTTCATAGATCCTCGGTTTCCACGAAGGCCGACTTGATTAACCTCCCAGGTCGGACTTCGGCCATTGGTTCATCCTCCGATCTTTTGGATCTTTTTTCTCTATTCGGCACCTGACCAGGTCGGCTTCGCATCAGGGCAGTCGGAGTGCCGACCTCGGGAGTGATACAACTCGCTTCCCTTGTGGACTTTGGCCCGAGGTCAGCTCGGCACTTTTGAAGTAATCTTGATGACCGACCCCGACGGCTGGGTCGGCCCCCCTCCGGCTCCTTACTCTTGAACCGGAGTCTTTACGTGTATTCAACTCGGATATCAACATACATGTCCCCGAGCTCGGAGGAGGCCTACAGTGTCTCCTTCGAGGTCGTCCTTGAGCAATAGGGTCCGAGTTGATAGGTCGTGTGATATGGGATATTATATAGCTGAGAAATAGACCGGTTTGCATCATCGGTCGAGCAACCTCGAAGTGGAGAAAACAGGATCGGTAGAAGGATGATCGACCAAAAAGAAGGAGATCGAGCAGAATAGCAGAACTGGTCGAGGATCGACCAAAAGAGAGGAGATCGAGCACTCAACGGGTGAAGAGCAGTCTAGAGCGTGGTTTGAACGTGAGAAGGCGCGTGGATGGCGTTAGAAGATCCCAACGGCTTGCGCAGAAGAATAATCTTCCTCAGCTCAGAGGGACACGTGGCGAGAATATATTGGTGCAGAGTGATAGTGGTGAAAACCACATCTGACAATCTCTGACACACGCACACTATGTGTGTACGGACGGGCAAGACAGCTCACCAAAAGCCGGGCAATTCCTTGGGCAGGTATCTCACTCCTATATATATGAGAGTGGGTCTTTTCTTGTAACCTACGATTTATCCATTCTTTACTTTAGAGAATTGAACAAACACATACTGACTTAAGCATCGGAGGCTCTTCACCGGAAAACCCCTCCGGTGTGAGAGTTCTGTGCAGGAACGCGGCGTTCTACCGGCGAGGAAGAAGGAGGCAAGCTGATTTCAAGCCGGTCGGAGTGTTTTGCGTTACCATCGTGCTCATGTGGTTCTGTTGCGAGGTCGACACTTTCGCCACACTTGGAACATTTTCACAGACTTCACCGAGCATTGATGACGAAACACGAAATGACGGGTCATTTTTCGCAATATATTCAAATCGTGATAAATTCAATTTATCATAAATATATATAAAAAAATTTAGAGGGTATAACAGGGGTTTCACAAAAAACTTAACACCGCTAACTGGAAAAATGAAAAAAAGGAGCGTGTGCATCTGGCCCTTAAATATAAGGAAGTGTCATACATTTTTTAAAACATAGAGTATTAACGCGCCCATTTCGTATAACACAGAGGGATTTGGTGCAACTTTCCCTAATTTTAAGTAGAACTAACAATGTTGTGTACAACAAAATTTTTTAGAATTTGAAATAAAATATCAATGTATAATAGTTTTGTTTTATGAAACTTCCATTTATTTATTTTGTATATACTTACAATAACTAAATTGTTTTTCTTTCTTTATTCAAATTATTTTTTCATGCACCCGTGTAGTATACTGGTGTCGCACAATGATATGTAAACAGAATGTTTGATATATTTTTAGAAAAAGCGCGTTAAAGAACCTCAAATACCATTTTGTAAATATAAAATTGATTAATACATAAATCTATGTCAAAAATATAATTACACCACTTAAAGAAATGGAGGACTGTTTTTCTTTTTTTAAAAAAAAAAAGTTTCTATCGGCAATACAATTGGAGAGTTCTAAGACTAGCTTCAACGGTGACCCCAAGTGGGTCACCAATCAAAAAATAATAAAAAACAAAAAAGAAAAAAAAAGGGGGGGCCAAGTCGTGAAAATTGAGCGATTGTGACCTGGGTCACGACCTATATATTATGTAAGACTATCTTTATTCCCAACTCAACCCAACCCAACCTAATAATTAAAAATTATTTCTCTCTCCTTCATCTACACAACTCAATCTTCCAATCCAATTTATCTTTATTCCCAACCCAACCCAACTTAAATATTTATTTTATTTTAATTTATTTAAATGTTACAATTGTATTCTAAAATATATCAAGTGTGGTCTCTATTTGTAGAGAATGAAAAAATACGAATTTTAGTATTTTTTTTAGAAACAAAAAAAATACACTTATACAATAAAAATGAGACAAGTGTCACATTCCTATACAATAACCGGTCACGACCCGAGGTCATCATGGACTTGGGTTGCTGAAAGTTGTGACCTTTTATTTTTTTTTTATTTTTTTTTTTGTCTTATTCCCGTGACCCAATGGGTGGGTCACGGATAAACATAGTCTAAGAATGGGACATTTGTCCCATTTTGATCGGATAAGTGTATTTTTTTTGTTTAAAATAAATAAAAATGATATTAAATTTTTTTTTTTTCATTCTCTACAAATAGAGACCACACTTGATATATTTTAGATTAAAAGTATAATTTTTAAATAAATTAAAATAAAATAAATATTGAGGTTGAGTTGAGTTGGGGATAAAGATAAATTGAGTTGTAAGATTGAGTTGTGTAGCTGGAAGAGAGAAAAAAAAAATTCTTAATTATTAGATTGAGTTGAATTGTGTTGGGATAAGGATAGTCTAAAAATAAAAGTTGCAAATATATACTCAACATATATATTTTTTTTTAATGCACTTAACATTCTCATATCCCCTATGATGATGTGACATGGCAACCTATACATGAGCCAAGCTATATATATAAATAGAAATGCCAAGGCTCTATGCGCACTCCAACCATATTGTCCAAAACCTCAAAGGTAGGAAAATTCAAAATGAGTATCTCAGAAGATGAAAGACTTTCCCAATTGATCAGAGACTACATAGAGATTGGATCCACAGTTCAAAGTACTAGAATTTGGCCTCCATCAAAATCTCTTCAGTTTCATGACAGCCCCACATTTTTCTCATTACAAGTAATTACAGTACTTTGTAAATCAATTTCTTTAATCACTAATTTTCTTGATCATCATGTATATATGTGACCTTCTCTCTCTCTCTCTCTCTCTCTCTCTGTATTTTTGAAGGAAATTATGGAAGAGAGCACAGATGCTGAAACTGAGATTTATGGGAAAATACTGTCCTACTATAAAGAGAAGGAAATGAAACATATGGAGAGGATTAACAATTCAAGAAAATGGATTGTTTTCAGATTGGAATTAGATAATTGTGAAGCCCATCTTTGCCAAACATCATGGTCAACTCCATTTGGCAAACCTCAAGGTACTTTTTTTTTTTCAAAAAATAATTATCTAATTTATTGTTCTTTAACTAGTTTATTACTTTAATCTTCAATTTTTCTCCCCATCAATTTACAATTCGTGGTTTAAAAAAAATAGGATTTTCAATTTTGCAGATTTCCAATTCAAGGGTGAGTATGAATATGTTGAGGTGATCAAGATTGACAAAAATGGGTGCAAAAAGGAAAGGCTAATAGTTGACATAGATTTTAGGACACAATTTGAGGTATCAAGGCCAACACAAAACTATCAAGAGCTGATAAATGGGCTGCCTTTGATATTTGTGGGCACTGAAGAGAAATTGGAGAAGTTGATTTCTTTGATTAGCGGTGCTGCCAAACGGTCCCTTAAGGAGAGGGGCTTGCATGTCCCTCCATGGAGAAAAGCTACTTATATGCACTCCAAATGGTTCTCTAAGAATTGCAAAAAAGTCTCATTTTCGGAACTGGACTTCTCATCTTATAATTTTCCAAATAATAATGATAATAATAATAATAATAATGGGATTAACGGATGTTTCCAAGATTTTCTCTAGCAGGTTGAGCAATTGGGCACATATGGTTGTTGATTAAGTTTTTTTTTTCTTTTTCTTTTTCTTTTGGAGATTGGTTAAAAGTTGTAATGTACTATTGAATTTTTTGGTTTTCTCGGTACTGGCTATTTTGTAAAGGTGGCTCGATGTGAAGTGAGATTAATGTTTATGAATTTATCTAGCAATTAATTGTTTTATTTTTAATTATAGTTAATTTTGAAAAAAGTTGGTATGGTTAGTTGTTAGTAGATATATTAAAATTATATTTAAAATAAAATAATTAAAGTTGATATGATGTAAAAGTAAGAGAAAAATGATTGAAAGTGGTGGTTAGTTAAAATTATGTGAGAGAATGAATACTGAATTAAAGTTGATGTGATGTGTAAGAATAATTGGTTGATATTATTTAATTATATTGATAATATTGAAAATAGTGAAGTTGGGTCAAAATTAAGTTAAATTTGAATTTTGATTGAATTTTTTAGAATGAATCGCTAAATTATTAGTTGACTTAATTTAGTTGACTTTATATGTGAAAATGAGTTGAATTGAGATGTGTATGTTTTCTTCTATAATCCACATACAGGACCTAATCTATGTTTACTGGATGACATGAATGGAAGATAATTAATTAATGCTTTAATTATCTGCATGTATCAATGTGCTTTATAGAAACTCAAGAAAACTCTGGGTACATACACATGATATATTGGTATGCGACATCTATATATATATATATATATAAGAATTAAGATTTTTAAAAAATAGCAGGTCAATTCTATGATCAAAGATGCTTAGCATTAATTACTTTCTATTAATGGCAATTTTTTTAATTTTTAATTTAAAAACACGGACAACATCATTTGGAATTTGTTAAATTAATGACCACGTAATTTGTTAAATTAATTTTTATTTTCTATGTTTAAATCACAAAAATATTTTAGTCTTCTTATTTAAATTGCTAATGGTTTAATGGTAAAAGGTTATGTAAATAGACTTAGATATATGCATCACATATCACTGCCTAAATTAATGATTTTATTATTTTAAAACTAATAAATCTTAAATTGAATCTGATTTATTTGTTAAAGGATATTTTGTATTCATAGTGTCATGTTCTATTGTAATTCAAAATTTCAAATTGCCGATATGAATGAGAATTTGGATAGTTTAAAGAAACAAAATCCATTATATGAAGAAATTTATTCCTTGAAAATACACATATTCTTTAAATTGCATAATCAATCAATTGATCATAATTTTTTGAAAATTACTATGTTTATTTTTTTATTAATATGCATAAAGTAAAAATAATTAATCTTCGGGTCTTTCCTCTCCTTAAAGTCGAGCTCAACGCGAGAGGTCATAACATATGCTCAACTAAAAGGAGAGGTATTTTTTATTAATATTCATAAAGTAAAAATAATTAATTCATCTTTAGATATATAATTTATAATCTTAATGTACTATCATTTGGTGTAGACATTTATTATATGAATCATAAAATATTTTTATTTCATAAAATTAAATATATCTAAAAAAAAATAAAGAAATTTCTTTGGATCAATCAGATGATTAAATTAGGGTACTGTCCAAGTTGATTGTTTTACTTTTAGGTGATATTTAAAATAGTCAAAAAAATTGACACAACTTGATTGGTCCCAAAGTGACTAAGTTATCTATCTGTTTGATCAGACCAATTCGATTATTGAACCTAAATATAAATTTTAATATTAAAAATACTTTATTACGTGAATGTGATGTAGTCCAAACTTCAAATAATCATATTAACAATATTCTTATGACAACATGTTTAATAATTTATAAATATTTATATATTATTTTATTAATTATTTTGTGAATAAAATAATATTTTATTATAATTTTTATTAATGTACAAGAAATATAAGATTTTCAGAACCGGACCGTCATCGAAACGATCAAGTTATTTTATTAAATTATTTGTGCTCTGTTCAAATTTTAATTTATAAACATTTTAGTATATATAACTCATCGAAAAGATCAAGTTATTTTATTAAATTATTTGTGGTCTGTTCAAATTTTAATTTATTAACATTTTTATATACAAGAAATATAAGATTTTCAGAACCGGACCGTCATCGAAACGATCAAGTTAAAATATAAGATTTTCAGAACCGGACCGTCATCGAAACGATCAAGTTATTTTATTAAATTATTTGTGCTCTGTTCAAATTTTAATTTATAAACATTTTAGTATATATAACTCATCGAAAAGATCAAGTTATTTTATTAAATTATTTGTGGTCTGTTCAAATTTTAATTTATTAACATTTTTATATATATAATACTTTTTGTAATAAATTTAAAGAAAAGGTGATACTTAAATATCTAAACAATTTACAAATTCAAATGTTTAAACTATTGATAAAGAAATATTGTTGGACTTCAACCACTAAAGCCACAAAAATTTTTTCTCTCTCTAAAAATTCGGCCCCAACTCTCGTCGTCTACAATCAATTTCCGTCGCCTTCCTCTCGGATCTCCGTTTTGCTGGTAGTCGTCCCTCGCCGGCCGGCCCGTCCCAGTTGCTGCGACACTGCTCGCTACGGCCGGTGGTTCGGTGGTCGCCAATTCAGGCTCGCCTCCTCCGATAGGTGGGCTAGGGTTTGCGATTGCCGGATTTCATGGTGCGGTGGAAGGTTAATAGGTCGCGGTGAGTTGGGTAAGGGCCGGGTTCGGTTACGGCTATTCGCCTTCCTTAGTCGGAGGTCCCTGGCTCCTCAGGCGGACCCTCTCCGAACTTGCTTGCAACTTCCGGTCGTCGAGGTGGGAAGGGCCTATCGGTCTGCGCTGCTCCTTTTCGCCGGCGGACGGGTGAGTGCAGGGTGCGAGCTTTCGATTGAAGACTGATCGGCTTTTGGGTTTGTCGGTCTCGATTGAGGGTGAATCTCCTTCTTTTGTTCGTTCTTGTCTCGGCTATTTATTGTTTGCGACTGGTGTGCTCTGCCCTTCTCTGTTCTCCCTGAAATGCGGACGCGATTGGTGGCTGCGGCTAATTGTGAGGAGACAGGGTAGGTTCGGGTTTGGGCTCGTTGGTGGCCGTGGTCTTTGTGACTTTGGATGGAAAGGGCTGTGGCTGAGGCATTGGGCTTGGTTCTCTTCCCCTGGTTCTCTATGTCCTGGGGGCTCACTGTTCTATCAGAGTCTGCTAGTGGTGTTAGGGGACTCGGATTTACGGTGTGGGGAGCTTCTCGATGTTTTCTGGTGTTGGGAGAATTAGCTCTGGTGGAATTAGTGGTATGAGTCTCGATTCAGCTAGGCAATTTGGCAGTGGAGGGGTCGCTCTTCTCATGCTATTGAATCCCCCGGGTTGATTTGGTGGCTGCTGGTTAGGATAGGATTTTCTGTAGAGGGAGGGCTCGTGTGTTTTATTGTCTTTTCAGTGTTTGTTCTGTAGTTTGATTTCTTTGTTTTGTGTTTGTGTTTTTGG